ATCGACAGCAGCGGCTGCGGCGGGAGGCGCTCACCCGCACGCTTATTACAAGCGATCGGGCATCTCCACAGACGCCCGAACGCTTGTATGTAAAACAGTTACCACTGGCTGTTTACAGTGCAGGCTGAATTCCCGCTCTAAAAACGCCCACCCGCTCTCAAGAAGCCGCTGTCCGGCCGTTTAATTAAAACGGCCGGACAGCAGGTGGTTAAAGCAAACGTCCTTTATTGATGCATATTGTCACATACATGGCAACATGTCGGGGCCATGCAGAGTCCCTTCATCAGGCTCAGTATTTCCTTCCTAAACCTGATGAAGGGACCCTGTGTGGCCCCAAAACCTCGCCATCTATGCGTCAATAAAGGGCATTGGCTTTGGCTTCTATCCGGTGTGCTGGTGGCATCCTGCTACATCTGTAATAATAAAACCTCACATGCATTTGTGAACAACGTCCCCATTCTCAGTCTGAGGACAATAAATCATCTTTCCGCACACATGTGAATCCTAAAACTCTGGAAAGCTATGAAAATTCTCCCCAAGCCGTGAAAATCAGGAGAAGGAGGAAAGTCTCACCTTGCCAGCTCTTTGATTAGATTTGCTATTCGCCTCTTGTCTTCTGGGCACAAATCCTTTAAAGAGGCGCTTCTCGAGCCAGCTTCTCCGCGAGCCCCCTAAAGAGAGATGATTCCATAAAGATAGACAGTTAGCGAGAACAAAGACTGCAGGCCACCAAAAGCCGGGACATAAAAGGCGGGGAGGAAAGGCAATCATTCCCAATTACATGTATCAGTGGTGTCAGCACACACAGGAAGACAAACAACTGAAATATCAACTCAGAAACAGATATTAAAATGTCAATTGAAAGAGATACGTTCTATGTCATGTCCACAGAGCCATTTAAAGTGTGTCCCCCCCAACCACCACCTTCAGGGGGAACTCTACACTAATCATAAAAAATGACAACTGAGTCACCTTTAGAAATGTTTAATAGTGACAATCTGCAAACACATATAGATAATTGCCAGCTTATTAAAGCGGACCTTTACACTCAAAAATCTAATTCTACCAATGCATCCCTCTATGAATGATGATTAGTAATACCCAGGGCTTGAATAATCCACTCGTCCGCGACAAGAGGACAGTGGAGCCCGACGAGCAGCTTCCCGGCCCGGAGCTTTACATTCAAGCGATCGGGCGTCTCTAGAGACGCTCGATCGCTTGTATTAGCAGCTGTCACTGCCGTTGCCGGTCCCGAGATCCGCTGTGCCCGATGCCGCCGGGACCTGTGACAGGAGATCAAAGGGAGCTCAGTATACGGTCTCCCTTTGATCTCCTCTCAGTCCCCGAATGCAGGAAGTGATGTATATTACATCACTTCCTGCATTCAGTGTCACTCTCCGCTACAGAAGCTGATGAAGCCGATCTCTGCTTCATCAGCATCTCTGGGGGTCCCTAGGTGACATTAGGGGTCTTTAGGTCTCCATAAAGAGGACCCGTCATGTAAATTGGCTATTATATAGGGGGCTTCTTAGCCCCCTATGTAATAGCAATAAAGCTGTGTAAAAAAAGACAAAAAAGTAATACAAAAATCAAAGAATTATGAAAAAAAATAAAAGCATTAAAAAAACTACAAAAGAAAAAACATTTTGTTTAAGTCCCCGCCCCCCCACATACACATATGCGTCGGGTGCTCCTACGTGCAAAAACGACGATTGCGCCTATTGTGCCGCACATGTTAAATATCACCGCAAACGAGTGAGAGCAATAATTTTAGAGACATTAATCACTGATAACACTAAACTGATGAGCAGTAAAAGCGTTTTAATCATCGCCTATGGGCGTTTGTGATTTTGGGGGAGCACGCAATTTTGAGGCTTGACATGTTTGGTGTCTATTTACCCGACGTGATCCCGACTTTTATGTTTTACTAAAAATATGGGTAAGAATTTTTTATTTTTTTTACATTTATGGTACTTTTTTCATTACATAGTAAAAAAAAAAACAACATCCCCCCCCCCTCCCTTCCCCCCGTGGTGATTATATACCTCCAAAAGAAATCTCTATCTGTCCCCTAAAAAATGTTAACATAAATTGCAAGGCTATAGTCCGGTCATGCTGACTGCTGACATTTTTGACTGACTGGTGAGACACCATCAAATTTTTCAAGCCCTGGTAATAACAGACACGTCAGGTGTAAAATGCTGCGATCGTGAAGTAATTACACTTGCAGAGCATTCACTTCCTGCTGTGAAAGGGCAAAATGACTTCAGAATGCCAAAGCAATGCACACTGGGAAGGTTACCTCAGCAGAGCATTGCTGGAAAATCTCATGAGATCTCAGGGAACACCATTTTCCTCCCCTGTGATGATGTGCATGGTCACATGTCCTAGTCACATGTGCCAGAAATCAGGAAGTAATAGGAGATCTAGTAATCTGCCCTTAGTAAACATGGCCACTGCCAGAAGACTAGGGAAGAAAAGAAAAATAAAGTATGCAAAGAATACAAAGCCGGCAATGATCTAGAAGTATGCGATTGTAGATTGATATCACTAAGGGCTCAGTCACACTAGATGCAGTGCGTTCCGGCCCGATTTTGGCCAGAACGCACTGCCTCGTATTGTGGCCGGCTCACTTTTTAGTGGGGCAGGAGGGGGCGTGGCATTCAAGTGATCCGCCCGCAATGCGATCCGCCGCACGGGATCTAAAAGGCACATTGTGCCTGCGGTCCGGTTCTGTGTGAGGGGCGTGGCTACGGCGCCATTCACTTGAATGGCCCGCCACGCCCCCTCCTGCCCCACTAAAAAGTGAGCCGGCCCGCAATACGAGGCAGTGCGTTCTGGCCAAAACGCACTGCATGTAGTGTGACTGAGCACTAAACATTTCTAAAGGTGTGTTTGTTGTCGTTTCAAAGATAGGAGTAAAGTTCCTTGGGTTTGCAAATGTATTTGGTGCACACAAAGTAGTTTTATATGCCTTGTGGCTGCTGAGGAATATATTCAAATTCCTTTTTTTTGTGCCCGAGTTCAGCTTTATTCACAAGTTCTGAGCTACAAAGCTTTTTAACCACCTCAGCACCAAAATGTTATATCCCTTTCCTGTCTAGGCCAGCTTATAGAGCTGTGATAGTCTGACTGACAATTACCCAGCCCTGCACACACTTTGCTGTCTCCTGTGACAGTCTCATTGTCACAGGTCGGCTAGAACTATGAGGTGAGTGAAAAGCACTCACCTCAGAGTTCTCCTTTAAGTGGTTATAGCAAGGTCATCTTGGTATCGCACTTCAGCAGGCGGAAGACTTCAATGTACACGTGATCAGTCCGATCACTTGTCCCCCATCTGTGACACACACCCCACTGTAGTGTCCAGGCTCCCTCACACACCTCGGGGGGGACCTAGGACCATTGCAAATGCACTCAGGATGGAGAGCAGGAGCGGACCAGGTTATCGCTATTCCCCAATCGCCTCTATAAGCAATGAAGCAGGAAGCACTGTGAGCTGTCAGAAGCCGGGGCAGAATCCTGCGCTTGATCGCCTGAAATTGTAGTAAGGAAAGACATCAGCGGTCTGATAAACCCCTGATGTCTCAATAACGATAACCTGTCACCTCCCAATGCTATCACGTAGGGACTTGTTAGCCCCCTTCTGATAACAAAGTTGAAAAAAGTGTTAAAGTTCAGACAGTGAAATCCCAGCACTTCCTGTGGAGTACAGTCACCTCTGCCTGGGTTTTGTTCGCTAGCTGGACCAGTCTCAAGAAAATGAATGCCCTCTAATACTCTCGAAATCAAGCAGCACGGACATGGTTACATTAGCACAGCTTGTATTAGCGAAAATGCAAACCCCAAGGTCCTGGCATATCTGGATCCCCCCCCCCATGGATTGGGAGGAACCGGCAATAGGTCAGAAACGACCTCCTTAAAGCACCGCATGGTTTCCACCATCTCGGTCCTAAAATAATTTCTAACAGTTTCTTCAAACACAATTCACACAGGGATTCTAGATATCCTGCAGGCAACTTGGAATTACAACTGCTGCGGCGCTTTCTGGTTAGTTTAGTAGCCGGGGCAACAGATAAAACAGAACCCAGGGGTGTCAGACTCCCTGCAGAAGTGTCCTAGGCATAAAAAAAAAAATCAGGTTGCGGGGCTGGAAGATGATTGGAGAATTGTTCCGTTATATACTCACCGATAACGGGATTTCTATGAATCTTCCAGGACAGCAAGCCTACTTCGGTTGCTGGCCTGGAAGATGATTGGAGAAATGAAGCAGCACAGACATTGTTACATTAGCACTACCTGTATTAGCGAAAATGCAGCATGGGAATGGATTGGTAGCCGCCAACCAGCGGACCTTCCCCCACCACATCCTGTTCCCCAGTGGCTACACAGCACAGAACGTTCGGTCCCTACTTATGTAACCGGACATACTTCTACTAGTTTACACAGCAGGGCAAAAAGGTAAATCAAGTAATACCTACTATGTGGAGAGGAAGGATGGGGAGGGTTTGGTGCAAGGGGGGGCTAAAGTAACTAGCTGCACATTACCTGCATATCTCTGTGCTGTGTCCAGTCCGGTATCAAGTCCATTGTAGCCTCTGGTATGGGAGCTGCGGCTCCTGACTTTCTTTCTTCGGGTTTTCTATTCTTAAACTTGGAAGCCGGTCTGAGGTTACCTTCAGTGCAGAGTCCTAGGCAGAGCGACAAGCATAGCATCAAACATCCCAGTGTCTCATACCCGGCCACATCTTGCTTCTATATTGTGTGACATGCAACACGCACCCGGCTGTACATTTCTTACAATAAATGTACTTTATTGACACAAAACAAGGAAAACAAAACCTGCTCGCCTGGTGTCAATAAAGAACATTGAACCTATCACCGCTGCCGAGATAAAACCCAACACAGTTTTCTACCAGTCTGAACAGAATAAGACATGAACTGTGAGAAATACTTCCATGTAGGAGGCATCAGGGACCCAAGACCACTGCAGGGGAGGAGGAGAGAGGCTCCAGGGACCAGGCTAAGAGCATGCCAGCTTAGAGGATGAGGTCCTCCCTCACTAGACCAAACATGCTCTTACACTTGCTGTGCAGGGGGGATTTACTGCAAGGGTTTGTGCCCAGACTTTTGCCGCCGGGACTCTGTTTAAACTTGTAGAGCCGACTGTCGGCTTTACCTGTCGCCAGATCGCTTCTGTGTCCCGAAGAAGGGGCCGCCCCCACACCCCCGCCGAACACCGCCGCCGTGCTTCCCGGGCTCCGTTGCCCCTCCTACGGGCCCGGGACCGGCGTCCTTGGTGTCCGTGGGGAGCTGGGGAGGAGGTCGACGAACTTCCCGTCATCGATCCCCTCCCCGTTCTATGGGACCGAGAGCAATGCAGATTGCATCACTTCCGGTCCCTGGGCTGTCAGTTCTGGGCTCCTGCAGCCCAGCTATAAGCTATTGAAGTGCGATCTGCACTTCAATAGCTTATTTCCAGTGTAAAGGTGACACTGAGGGTCTTTTGGACCCCCAGCATCACCTTAAAGAGGACCTGTCACCACCATCTGCTATTACATGGGGGGGCTTGCAAGCCCCCCCATGTGATAGCAGTCAAAGTAAAGTAAAAAAAAACAAAAAAACAGTTTTTAAAATTAAAATGAAATAAAATAAATCTAATAATAATAAAAAAAAATTTTAAAAGTACCCCGCCCCCGCGAGCACGCGCGTCGCCACGTAAACACGCGTCGGGTGCGCCTACGCATGAAAACGACGAACGCGCTACACATGTTGGGTATCGCCGCGCACGCCGGAGTGAGAGCAATAATTCTAGGGCCAGTATTTTGGGGTATCTCTAAATTGATGACCTGTGGGGGCTTTTAAAGCGTCTTCTATTGACTTTTTGGGGTACTGCAGTTTTTCGCCGTTTCATGGAAGCACGCAATTTGTAAACTGGGCATGTTGGGTATCGTTTTACTCGTTGTAACCTCATCTTTTATATGTCATTTAAAAAATGGGTATTTTGTTGTGTTTTGGGGCATTTAATTAAATTTATCACTAAATTTTGGGGTTTAATAAGGAGTTGCGCTAATATTGCGCAACATAAAAATTTGCAACTACCACCATTATATTGTATAGGGTCTTGGCATTCAGAAAATATATAATGTTTGGGGGTTTTAAGTAATTTTCAGGCCTAAAATGTGGAATATAACATGGGTGCAAAAAATGAAAAAAAGGCCTCAGTCATGAAGGAGTTAAGATCATTATTGTTACAAGGCAAACATGACCTGTAACATGCAATATAAGAACATGTTCCCATAGCAGTCCACGGAACCTACAGCGAGAGATCACCTGAGGCACTGCGGGCCTCACTGCTGGTCTCAGGAGATTTGAAGCAAGTTTCGGTGATGTCATGACTTGTGCGGCTCACTGTTCTCCTTGCTGGAGAGAAAAAGGTGGACCTGAGGACCTGTAGTGCATGGACTGTCTCCATGTGCTGCTTCTCCCTTTCCCAGTAGGTGCTCTGCTGTACAGGGACCAGAAGAAGCCCATACTAAATTAAATAGATATTTATATCACGGCAAACAGTTTAAGTACCTAAATGTGATTATGTATTCATGAATACAGAGCTGAATTATTTGTGTATTTTATTTCTGCCTGAACGGGATATCAAAGACAAAAGGCTTTTAGGTTATTTCACATTCAGAATAAAAATCACTTAAAATGGATGCCGCTTCTTAATATTTAAAAGTTTTTCTTCCTGCAGAATCAGCTGGTCCCCTGAGCACTGGGCCTTATATCCTGTGGTAGGGTGGCTCCTTTGCCTTTTTTACACTCACCTCATAGTTCTAGCCGACCTGTGACAATGAGACTGTCACAGGTCGGCTCGGTAGATCGGGAAGTGAGCGAACACATACCGGCGTTCGCTCACCTCTCGATCCTGTCACGGCTCTCTGCCGTGACAGGGGAGGGGCTGGATTCCCCCCTCCGATCCGCCAGCGCTGACTGGCGGAATGTACGGGGGCGGGTACAGCTGGCTCTGCCTCTAGATTGGCAGAGCCAGCTGTCAGTTACGCAGCTGGGAGGATCCCGGCACAATTGTCGGGATCCGCTTCAGCTGCGGCGTCTCAGTATACCGCAAAAAAAAATTATCAGTACTTGATACCGGAAAACCGATATTGGTGCATCCTTAGTTTAGTACTACTTGAAGTTCAGCTAAGTTCACCATTTCTTGCAGCAATGACCCTGTGGATGAAGTGTATGACCACAAAATCTTTTAGTAAACATGCAGTGTGGCATCCATGTATAAGAACATGGGTACCACATGTAATACTATGTAAAACGTATTGGCATTCGAGGCGTGTCTGTCACTCGTCACGTGTGTACACGGATGTTTTATTCACATAACATAAAAAAATAAAAGTTTAAAAGCATCCAAAGACCACAAAGCATACCTGGTACATAGGCCATGTGTTGGTCCTCATCAGAATCTGGACAGGACGTTAAGGAACCCTTGTACGCGGAAAGGATCTCAGCCTGGCCCTGTGTGACACATGCCTCCCAGCCCCCATGTACCATGTCCCCATAGTGACACATCCCTTCCAGCCACCAATGGGTTCCATGTACCATGCCCCCAAAGTGACACATCCCTTCTCAGCCCCCCAATGGGCCCCATATACCATGCCCCCATAGTGACATCCCTTCTCAGCCCCAATGGGCTCCATGTACCATGTCCCCATAGTGACACATCCCTTCTCAGCCCCAATGGGCTCCATGTACCATGTCCCCATAGTGACACATCCCTTCTCAGCCCCAATGGGCTCCATGTACCATGTCCCCATAGTGACACATCCCTTCTCAGCCCCAATGGGCTCCATGTACCATGTCCCCATAGTGACACATCCCTTCTCAGCCCCAATGGGCTCCATGTACCATGTCCCCATAGTGACACATCCCTTATCAGGCCCAATGGGCTCCATGTACCATGTCCCCATAGTGACACATCCCTTCTCAGCCCCCAATGGGCTCCATGTACCATGTCCGCATAGTGACACATCCCTTATCAGGCCCAATTGGCTCCATGTGCCATGTCGCCATAGTGACACATACCTTCTCAGCCCCCAATGGGCTCCATGTACCATGTCGCCATAGTGACACATACCTTCTCAGCCCCCAATGGGCTCCATGTACCAGGCCCCCATAGTGACACATCCCTTCTCAGCCTCCCAAATGGGCTCCATGTACCAGGCCCCCATAGTGACACATCCCTTCTCAGCCTCCCCAATGGGCTCCATGTACCATGTCCCCATAGTGACACACCCCTTCTCAGCCCCCCCAATGGGCCCCATGAACCAGGCCCTCATAGTGGCACATACCTTCCAGCCCCCCCAATGGGCCCCATGTACCATGCCCCCATGATGACACACTCCTCTTACCCAGCACCAGTGTTACGAGGAATGCTGTCAGCCCAATCTCTGACATGACACATCTACTCCACCTTCCCATGTACAGTGTCACAGGGTATACTGCTGCACACAGGTCTCTGGCCCCCACCCAGACAGCAGTGACAGAGCCCACACACCCCTCCACCCAGAAATATATCACACGGTGGGTACAGAGACCCCCGACAAGGATACTGTCCTGACTCCAATACACCGAAGCTTCTCCCCTTCCAGCCTCCGCCATCTTCAAACACCCGCCAGCCCCGACCGCCCCAACAACCGTCCCTGGATCCCACCCGTCTCCATTTCCTTTCAACTCATTGGTCAGCGCTCACCCTCGCCTTCTCTCCCATTGGTTCTTTGTCCTGTCCCTCAGTCAGCAGACGAACCTGACGTTGGTGACGTATAGCCTGAAGTTGCAGTGCATTGTGGGATAGTAGTTCGCATGGCTGGCTCTCCGCTTGTCGAGAAAAACGCCTTGACTGCAATTCCCAGCATGCAACGCGGGGAGGGGACGCTTCCCGCCATGCAGCGCGGGCAGGGTTGTGTATCCTGGTTACGGCAAAGGTGCTGAGGAGCAGAACTGGGGTGATGAATGGGGAGAGGGGAATAGGGGTGCAGGGAGGGGAATAGGGGTGCAGGGAGGGGTTGTCACCATCCTTTGGTTCTGGGATGGGGGTGTCAAATGAACCTGTTTGGCGCTAGGGAGGGTTAAGTAGCACACAGAGATCAGGCATCAGTCAGAGGACATGGGTTGGAATAATAGGTGAGGAGCTGCAAGGTAGACAGTACTAGTGCATGCAAACCTGCAGCTCTGATGGTCACATATTTCAGGCAGCAGAAGTGGGAGGTGCTGAAGCTTATCAGAAGCCAGGAACACAAATGTAATATATTGATGCTTTCCTGTCCTTAGATGTGCTGGCTGCCATAGTTTTCCTTTTTGTTTAATGGTGACCCTGCCAGTAACACACTTCCTGTCCTAGGGTGACAACGCTCAATGGGCGGGGTGATAACACTGCTCAGAAGTTCAGTGTAGCCCAAATGGACAGCACAGGAAGTTATCAGCCGGCTGGATTTCTGGCAGGATCAACAGGTATTTGTTTTGCACTTTGTGAACAGATATAACAAAATGCTTTAAATGGTATATGTAACCAGAGGCGTATCTACAACTTATTGTGCCCATGATGTCCCGCCCAGCGCCTAGCAACCAGTGATGTCACTGGTTGCCAAGAGCTGGGCGGGACGCCGGCCAGATTGTCCCTGGTTGCTAAGAGCTGGGCAGGGAGACATTGGCCCTTACACACCTCCCTACCCAGTTGTTGGCAACCTGGGACGCTCTGTCCGCCGTCCTGCCCATATACACATCTCCCCGCCTGGCTCTTAGCAACCTGGGACGCTCTGGCCGCCATCCTGCCCATATACACATCTCCCCGCCTGGCTCTTAGCAACCTGGGACGCTCTGGCCGCCATCCTGCCCATATACACATCTCCCCGCCTGGCTCTTAGCAACCTGGGACGCTCTGGCCGCCATCCTGCCCATATACACATCTCCCCGCCTGGCTCTTAGCAACCTGGGACGCTCTGGCCGCCATCCTGCCCATATACACATCTCCCCGCCTGGCTCTTAGCAACCTGGGACGCTCTGGCCGCCATCCTGCCCATATACACATCTCCCCGCCTGGCTCTTAGCAACCTGGGACGCTCTGGCCGCCATCCTGCCCATATACACATCTCCCCGCCTGGCTCTTAGCAACCTGGGACGCTCTGGTAGCTGGGCGGAGAGATGTGTATGAAAGAGGGGTGAGGAAAACACAAAAAGTCAGCTGTCCCCGTGGTTCGCCGACCCACGGAGCGCCCCCCCCTTCAAGTGCGACCCAGGGCATGTGCCATACCCTGTAATACCCCACTGTATGTAACCGGCCAAAAGAGAGCAAATAAGGAACTCATTGTTACTATTTACAGACATTTTAAGCCCCCCTACTGGGTTCACGTCAGGGCAAATCTCTCGGCAATTCTTTTTTTGTTAGTTTTGGATAGAGTGGGGAAGGATTAGACCCTCTGCCAAGTTTTTATTGTTCTCTAAGTCTTCATTGGGGAGATCCACCCCTCTGTTTGTACTGATGACCTTTGCCACTGAGGAGGGATACCTAAAATGCTAGAGAGGACAAGTTTTTTTCTACACTCTGTTCTGGAGATTTCCTCTAACTTCCTGTTGAATCTTTGGGACAGGAAGTGAAGGGAAATTTCCTCAGCGACACAGGCTAGCAGGGTTTTAACCCGTCTCTGTTCTATCTAAAACTAAAATGTAGTTTTGGCTATACAGCTAGTAGTAGTCCGTCACATTCAACTGGACTTGTTCTGTAACATTTGACACCAAGCCACGTGGTGCCGGTGATTAACACCTGCGCAGACTTCCCGACGCCAAGGATGGGATTATGTATTTAGACCAGTGATGGCGAACCTTTTCGAACCCGAGTGCCCAAACTGCGACGCAAAATCAATTTATCTATCTCAAAGTGCCAGCGCTGAAAATAAGTTTAGTATTGCAGTTTGGGCGCTCGGGTTTAAGGAACGTTCAACATCACTGCCTTAGGCAAAATAGAGAAAGCCGCATATTCAAACATTAAGGCCCCATTCACGCTGAGCGACACTCGCCTGGGCGGATTTCCGCGCTGCCGGGATAGCGCGACTTTCTAATGGCGATCGCGCGACCTTCACCGTCGGGCTGCATGCAAAAAAATCACGCGAAATTCGCGGGAAAAAGGGTCCTACACGAGCGACGGGCGACATGAAGCTGTACATTAAAACAGCTCCATTGAAAAGCATTGTATGGCGACTTCTTGCGATATCGTGCGGCGGAAATCGCGCGTTAAAGCGCACAGTATGAATGGGCACTTATACACTCAATAAAACACATACACGCACTTATTAAAACACCCACATAACACACACACACACAGAACTACTAATAAAAATGAATAAAACATTGCCCCCTCTCCTGCTTACCTGTTTTGCAGGGAGGGGGGCTGCATCCCTGGGGTCTCTCATCCATGCATCTCTCATGGGGGAGGGCTGTGCGGCTCTCAGGCAGGGGGTCTGTATGGCTTGGGGGGGGGGTCTGTGCAGCTCCCGGGGGGAGGGCTTGTACGGCTCTCACGGGGGACCAGAACGTCGCGGATCGCCTCTGTAGTTGGGCCGGTCACAATCAGGCAGCGGCGGTGACCTCTAAACAGGCAGATTAGACGGCCGCTCGCGGGGGCCTCCCGGGGTCCTAGCGAGGAGGAAGCGGCCGTCTAACCTGCCTGTTTATTGGCCGCTGCCTGATTGTGACTGGCCCGGATCGCGTACCAAGGGCTCCCTTGGGTTGGGGGTTCCCCAACTTTCATGGCTGCAAGAAGTCCATGTGAGAGATGAGTGATTACTGGGGGGCTTCTGAACTGTATCCTGACACGAATCCTGTGTTCTTCTGTAGGTGATGTCATGTTGTCCTGAGCAAACAACACTGAGACCACGATGGCTTCTCACATAGAGAAAATCACGTTGGGCATCAGCAAGATATTAGGTGAGAAACTACAAATTGTATTATTAATTAACCACTTGCTGACCAGGGTGTTACACCCCCTTCCTGGCCCAGCCATTTTTCAGTGTGCAGCGCTGAGGTACTTTGACATTTATTCAGTAATGTCACGCTGTACTGAAATGAATTTTATATCATGTTTTGGGGACAGATAGAGGGGAATTTATCAAAACTGGAGCAGACAAAATCTGGAGCAGCTGTGCATGGCAACCAATCAGCTTCTCTCTTCAGTTTGTGCAGTTAAGATTTGAAAATTAAAGAGAGAAGCTGATTGGTTGATAGGCACAGCTGCTCCAGATTTTGACTGCTCCAGTTTTGATAAATTCCCCTCACAGAGCTCTCTTTTGGTGGTATTTAAAGGAGAACTGTGGGGTTAGGGTTTTCCCCCATAGTTCTCCTAAGGGTCACGGGAGAACACAAACTAGCGTCCTCCCGTCACCCAAAGCTCCGTATACCGCAAGCTGCAGCTCGCCTACAGTCTCATTGTCACAGGTCGGCTCAGATTATGAGGCTGAGTGTAACTCACTCGCCTCATAATTCTCCTTTAATCACCACTGGGGTTTTTTTATTTTTTACTATATAATGACAAAAGTACCGAACATTTGAAGAAAAAAAAAACAGTTTTCCCTACATTATGTTATCAAATATTTATCAGTACCCATTTTTTGGGTAAAATATAAAAGACGGGGTCACATCGGCTAAATAGACAGAGGTGGCATCTGTCAGTGGCAGTCCATGTACACGTGGCTTGGGATAGATGATTGTCCCAGAACGCAGGATAGATGCATCCAGCATGGGTCCGGGCACAGCTTTGATGAGCAGCTCCAGGCACGTTCACATAGTGGTCTGCTAATGTCCTTCAGATATAATGCTGCTGCTCCCGCCGATCACATCCCGGACTATAGGAAATAGTGATTGATCTTCAATCTTTATGTGATCGTATTTTGTAGAGTCGTCTCCCGGAGTGACGGAAGTGAAGTTTGAGGCCATTCCTCCTGCTGAACGTCAAGCGATTGTCTCCTGGGAGCAGGTAAGCATATTGCTGTATTCCGGCCTCTGGGTATCACTGCTGAGAGGGGGGTCTTTAATGTTGTGCCCAGTGATATGTACACTGAGTGGCCAGATTATTATGAGCACCCCATCAGTACTTGGTTGGGCCGCCTCGTGACTCCACGAGATGATGAAAGGTGATGCGAGGAATCTGACACGGCACTGTTGCCCTTCTGTTGTCTTGTACCAGTCTTGCCCCTCCCCCGTTCTGCCCTAACATTGACTAGTCGCTGACGGCCACAATTCGCACGTTCAGACCCAGATTTTCGGCTGACAGTCCGGTCTTTAAAGGAGAACTATGGGGTTAGGGCTTTTCCCCCATAGTTCTCCATAGGGTAACGGGAGGACACAAACTAGCGTCCTACCGTCACCCCAGGCTCAGTATACCGCGGTATACTAAGACGCTGAAGCGGATCCCGACAATTATGTCTGGATCCGCCCAGCTGCGTGACTGACAGCTGGCTCTGCCTATCTACAGGCAGAGCCAGCTGTACCCGCCCCCTCCCTC